CAGTGCAGCCACTTTGGAACATAGTTTGGTAGTCCTTTAAAATGTCAAATGTAGTTACCATATGACCCAGAAATTCCACTCCTGGGTATTTACCCAAGAGAAATGAAAACATGTCCAAAAACGTGCACAGAGACGTTCATTGCAGCATTATTCTTATAGCCAAAAAGTGGAAATAACCCGTGTCCATAAATTGATGAATGGATAAATAAAATGTGTTACCTACGCAGTGGAATATTACTCAACCATAGAGAGGAATGAAGTGCTGACACCTGCTACGACATGGATGACCCTTGAGAACACTACGCTCTGTGGGAGAAGCTGAACACCAAGGCCACCTATCATATGATTTCATTTGTATGAAAAGTCAGAATAGGGGAATCTGTACAGATAGGTCAGTGGTTGCCTGGGGCTGGGAGGAGGGTGGGAATGGGGAGTGACTGGTAATGAAGTAGGGCTTCTTTTTGGTGAAAATGGTTGCACAACCCTGTAAGTATACTAAAAACCACCAAACTGAACACGTTAAATGAGTGAATTGAATGGATGTGAATTGCGTCTCAAGCCTCCTTAGAGTCGGGCGGCTGAATCCTGGTCAGTGAGGTGGGGGTGAGGGAGATGGGGCTGAGCCCCCGAGGCCCGGCGGGCTCCACCTTCCCTTTCGAGATGGATTTTAGGATCAAGGCTAGTTTACCCAGCCCGTAACAAGAGCTTACTAAACTGCTCGGCGAGTGTGAGCGGGGAGAATGTGCCTGCATTGCCCTGTGGTCGGGGCGGCTTGTGCCGGCCGTGCTGGCTCCCGGGCGAGGGCTCGGGTTCTTAGAGCAGGGCTGGAGCTTCAGGGCCCCTAAAACTTGCCCTCAGAAGAGCTCTGCGTGTAGGGAGAAGCACAGTGCGAAAAGCCTAGCTTTTACCTTTGCTGTTTGCATCCTGCTGTGTGTTTGATGCTTCTAGGAGATGTGCTGTTTGTCCCATGACCTGGAGCACCTCAGGTGTGCGCTGCTGTCCAGACACCCCCTGGGCACCGACTGTGCGCCGGGCAGAGGGATGCTCGTGTTGCCTGCGTCTGACCTCACAGGGCCTGTGGAGGAGGCTCGTACCCCCATTTTGAGAAGCAGAAATAGCTCGGTGGGGAGGGGAGGGTTGGGGGAGCAGAGTTTAAAAACTCGTAAGAACGTTACCTTAAATGAAGACCATCACGATAATACTTTTACCAGCAGGAGCTTGCAAACCATCTAAGCATCAAATACAGCACTACCGCGCAGCAGGGCATTATTTAGCTACTTGATAACAAAGGAAGTTTTTTTTTTTTTTTTTTTTTTGCGGTACGCGGGCCTCTCGCTGTTGTGGCCTCTCCCGTTGCGGAGCACAGGCTCCGGACGCGCAGGCTCAGCGGCCATGGCTCACGGGCCCAGCCGCTCCGCGGCATGTGGGATCTTCCCGGACCGGGGCACGAACCCGCGTCCCTTGCATCGGCAGGCGGACTCTCAACCACTGCGCCACCAGGGAAGCCCACAAAGGAAGTTTTTAATGATAAAGGAGAATGCTTGTGACAAAATTTTATGTGAAAAAAGGGCAGAATACCAAATTATATATAGTATGATCGCAACATGTAAAACACCCTCAGAAAAAAATACTGTTAGAAGCTTCTCCAAGGACGCTAACCTGTGTTATCTCTGGAAGGTAGGATCCTGGGGAATGTCTCCCTTAGTCTCCTTCCCTCCCCCGTAAACCTGGATGGCTTTTGTTATTAATGGGCAGCCCTGGTTTGAGTAGGAAGTTGATGTGCCGCTGTATAGAGGGGGCAGGGCTGGCAAGGGACCCCGACACCCCGGGGAGGAAGGGGCTGCGGGGGTGGACTTGGGTGCCATCTTCCTGGAGGAGAGATTGAAACCCACCCTGGGTGGGTGCGGAGGGAGCCTGAGGCACGGAGGTGAGGAGGGTGGGGGTGCCGGGCGCTGTCACGCAGGGAGGAGGCGGCTCGAGAGTCCTCACTGCGCCCGCGCTCCTTCCTGGGTGGAGTGCTTGGGTGCAGCCCGACGCAGGAGAGCCGCGTGCTTTGCAGGCTCTCGGCTCAGGTGACTGGTTCGAACCTCAATTCCAGGACTTGTGAGCTAAGTGGCAGGGGCTGCCTAGGCCCTGGGCCTCTGTTTTTGCATCTGTGAAACGGGCTGGTGCGTGAGTCTGGGGAGAAGCGGCTGGTGGCCCTGTGGTTGCTGCTTCACGGTGTTGCTACTGCTGGAAGTGCCCTGGGACTTAAAGGGATTACGACTAATACAGTCTTTTTAAATTTTTATTCTTATTTATTTATTTTTAAACAGGGACTCATATATATATATATATATATATATATATATATATATGTATTTAATTTTATTTACTTTTAGCTGCGTTGGGTCTTCGTTGCTGCGTGCGGGCTCTGTCTAGTTGCAGCGAGCGGGGGCTACTCTTCATTGCCGTACGCGGGCTTCTCATTTCAGTGGCTTCTCTTTGTTGCGGAGCACGGGCTCTAGGTGCACGGACTTAAGTAGTTGTGGCTCGCGGGCGTAGTTGCTCCACGGCATGTGGGATCTTCCTGGACCAGGGCTCGAACCTGTGTCCCCTGCATTGGCAGGCAGATTCTTAACCACTGCGCCACCAGGGAAGTCCCAGCTAATACAGTCTTTTTTCTAAAATTAATTTTTATTGGAGTAGAGTTGATTTGCAATGTTGTGTTAGTTTCTGCTGTACAGCAGAGTGAATCTGTTATAAATATACATAATCCACTCTTTTTAGATTCTTCTCCCGTATAGGTCGTTACAGAGTATTGAGCAGAGTTCCCTGTGCTATACAGTAGGTTATTATTAGTTATCTATTTTATATATAGTAGCGTATATATATCAATCACAATCTCCCAATTCGTCCCACCCCCCCCCACCCTATTAGCCATAAGTTCGTTTTCTACATTTGTGACTCTATTTCTGTTCTGTAAATATGTTTATTTGTACCATTTCTTAAGAGTCCACATATAAGTGATATCATATGATACTTGGCTTTCTCTGTCTGGCTTCACTCAGTATGACAATCTCTAGGTCCATCCACGTTGCTGTGAATGGCATTATTTTGGTTTTTTATGGCTGAGTAATATTCCATTGTATATATGTACCACATCTTCTTTATCCATTCATCTGTTGATGGACATTTAGGTTGCTTCCATGTCTTGGCTATTGTAAAGAATGCTGCAGTGAACATTGGGGTGCAGGTATCATTTCAAATTATGATTTTCTCCAGGTATATGCCCAGTAGTGGGATTGCTGGGTCATATGGTAGTTCTATTTTTAGTTTTTTAAGGAACCTCCACACTGTTCTCCATAGTGGCTGTATCAATTGACATTCCCACCAGCAGTGTAGGAGGGTTCCCTTCTCTCCACACCCTCTCCAGCATTATGGTTTGTAGATTTTTTGATGATGGCCATTCTGACCTGTGTGAGGTGATATCTCACTGTAGTTTTGATTTGCATTTCTCTAATGATTAGTGATGTTGAGCAGCTTTTCATGTGTTTGTTGGCCATCTGTATGCCTTTGGAGAAATGTCTATTTAGATCTTAACCCCATTTTTTGATTGGGTTGTTTGTTTTTTTGATATTGAGCTGCATGAGCTGTTTGTATATTTTGGAGATTAATCCCTTGTTGGTTGCTTCATTTGCAAATATTTTCTCCCATTCTCTGGGTTGTCTTTTTGTTTTGTTTATGGTTTCCTTTGCTGTGCAAAAGCTTTAAAGTTTAATTAGGTCCCATTTATTTTTATTATCATTCCTCTAGGAGGTGGATCAAAAAAAATATTGCTGCGATTTATGTCAAAGAGTGTTCTGCCTATGTTTTCTGCCGAGAGTTTTATAGTACCCAGTCTTACATTTAGGTCTTTAATCCATTTTGAGTTTATTTTTGTGTATGGTGTTAGAGAATGTTCTAATTTCATTCTTTTACGTGTAGCTGTCCAGTTTTCCCAGCACCACTTATTGAAGAGACTGTCTTTTCTCCTTGTATATTCTTGCCTCCTTTGTCATAGATTTATTTACCACAGGTGTGTGGGTTTATTTCTGGGTTCTGTATTCTGTTCCATTGATCTGTATTTCTGTTTTTGTGCCAGTACCATACTGTCTTGATTACTGTAGCTTTGTAGTATAGTCTGAAGTAAGGGAGCCTGATTCCTCCAGCTCCGTTTTTCTTTCTCAAGATTGCTTTGGCTATTTGGGGTCTTTTGTGTTTCCATACAAATTGTGAAATTTTTTGTTCTATTTCTGTGAACAGTGCTATTGGTAATTTGACTGGGATTGCATTGAATCTGTAGATTGCTTTGGGTAGTATGGTCATTTTGACAATATTGATTCTTCCCATCCAAGAACATGGTATAACTCTCCATCTAGTTGTGTCATCTTTGATTTCTTTCATCAGTGTCTTACAGTTTTCTGAGTGCAGATCTTTTGCCTCCTTAGGTAGGTTTATTCCTAGGTATTTTATTCTTTTTGATGCTGTGGTAAATAGGATTGTCTCCTTGATTTCTCTTTCTGATCTTTCATTGTTAATATATAGGAATGCAAGAGATTTCTGTGTATTCGTTTTGTATCCTGCTACTTTACCAAATTCATCGAGCTCTAGTCGTTTTCTGGGTGCATCGTTAGGGTTTTCTATGTATAGTATCATGTCATCTGCAGACAAGGACAGTTTTACTGCTTCTTTCCCAATTTGTATTCCTTTTATTTCTTTTCCTTCTCTGATTGCCGTGGCTAGGACTTCCAAAACTATGTTGAATAATAGTGCGAGAGTGGACATCCTTGTCTTGTTCCTGATCTTAAAAGAAATGCTTTAATTTTTTCACCATTGAGAATGATGTTTGCTGTGGGTTTGTTATAATGGCCTTTATTCATAAACAGTCTTTAGCTTTTGGAAGAGCCTCTCCTGGCCCGTGGGCAGAGCCGTCTGCACTCGGGCCCGTGGGATGCTCATCCTATCCCCTTCACCCATAGCCGTCCCTCTGCCACCATGAGGAACATCTTCAAGAGGAACCAGGAGCCCATGGTGGCTCCCACCACCACCACCACCACCATGCCTGCTGAGCCCCTGGACAACTCCACTGAGAGTGGAGGTGCCAGGGAGGGCAAGGGGGACCTGTTTGCCACGTTGAAGGACCGATTCTTCAATGAGATGGTCAAGCTCCCTCGTGAGTATCGATCTGTATGCAGCTTGGGGGCGAGGGTGGGGGTGTGCACCATGGGGGTGTGACAGCCGCGATCTTTCCTAATGTTTGGACTCGAGGCTGGATTATTTGGGGATCCCCTTCAGGAATGGGGGGCAGTGTGGTGTGGCACTAATGAAGGAAACAAGGGGGTTTATGTGCCCTACCCTCCAGGGGGGATAAACGTTCTTATACTTAGAAATCTGTCAAAAGATGGAACCAAAAGAGGATAAAAAATTATGAAACAGAAATCATTATTCAAGTTTTCCAGTCATACTTTAAAACTACTTTATTTTGCAAGATAGAAAATAAAACCCCCTACTGCTTCCTGGATTTCTGGTAAAGGCTGTGGGGAGGAACCCGAGGTCCGGATTCGGGGAGCAGCCCCACTGGTGGGAGGCGGTGCTTCAGCACCTCGGAGAGCAGCCCCAGCCGGCCCGCGGCCCGCCCCTCCCTGCACTTCCCCAAACCCGCGGGCCCTCTGAGCCCGGCCTCCTGGCGCAGGCTCAGCCCTCTCAGGACTGCGCCTGAGGGCCGGGCCTTCCTACCCCACCAGGGTCTGATGAGGACCCTCCCATCCTTCGTGTGAGCCGCAGTTCCAAGGGTCAAAGTTGTCAGATCTCAGCAGAGCCCAGATGGGGGCCCCGTGGTGTGCGCCTGCCTGCTGTCCCTGTCACAGGCTGTCCTCGCTGGGGTGGCAGAAAGGGGAGGGCATCGAAGCATGCAACTTAGCGTGGGTTTACAACGCGGGGTGCGGCAGCGGGGCCGGGCCCCGACCCAGCTTTCTATCCCTGAGGGGTCGGGGCTGCCCGAGCGCCGCTGACCCCATCTCCCTGTGGGCAGTGCCCCCCTGGGCGCTGGGTGCCATCGCGGTGCTCCTGGGCCTTCTGCTCCTCGCCTGCTGCTTCTGCATCTGCAAGAAGTGCTGCTGGAAGAAGAAGAAGAACAAGAAGGAGAAGGGCAAGGGCGCCAAGAACGCCATGAACATGAAGGACATGAAGGGTGGCCAGGTAGGCAGGGCCGGGTGACCAGAGGCCCCTCGATGCTCTCCAGGTGGGAAGAGCTCGCTCAGGTCAGCAGGGACTGTCCTTGACTGACCCAAAAGGAGGCCGTTGGGACAAAATGCTGGGAAGAGAGACCCCCGCCCACCAGGAAGCCACCATCGTGTGACCCGGTTTCCCGCCGGCAGGGCTGCTGGACCACGTCCTCATTGTGGGGCCCTGTGGGTCCGTCTCTCGTCCACAAGGACGTGGCTCTTCTCCCCATCTTTCAGGGAGCAGCCTGGAAGACGCCCTGATGTACCTGTGTCTCCTTTTAAGTTTGCAGAGGCCCCGGGCGCCTCACTTTCCCCATGTTTGTTCTGGGAGGAATTTCTTGCTCAAGGAATCAGTGTGGAGGGAGGAAGGAGGGCTGATCTCAGGAGGTCAGCCAGGGGCCGTGGCCTTTGAGTCTGCGCGTGCACGTGCGCACGTGTGTGAGCACGCACGTGGACGTGCGTGTGCGTGTGAGCCTGTGGGGGCCCCGGCCCTGCCATGCGGCTGGTCTGAGCTGCAGGATTTTCTTACCACTCTCTCCCTTCTCCTCCCACCTGTGGACTCGCCTGGCCTGGACGCCCGGCCTGCACGCCTGGTACGTGCTGCCCACGTGGTGGCCTGAGCTGGGGGCGGGGCGGGGGTCACAGGGAGGCTCCGCCACTCAAGAAGCCGCATGGCATCTGGGCCGTGCTGGCCCCGCAGGGACAGGGCCGGGCTGGGGGCTGAGGGGAAGCGGGGCCCGACGGCGCCCCTCCAGCTCTGGGTTGGGGTCTGCACGGGGGCAGGCACCCCGCCTTCCCTCCCTTGACCCTCCCTCCCCTCCTCAGCCCCCCAGGACGATGACGACGCCGAGACGGGCCTGACGGAGGGCGAGGGCGAGGGCGAGGCCGAGGAGCCGGAGAACCTGGGGAAGCTGCAGTTCTCTCTGGACTACGACTTCCAGGCCAACCAGGTGTGCGGGACGGGGGCGGGGGCGGCCCCCAGGGCTCCACGGGGCGGGCACCCCGGCTGTAGGGAAGAAGGGCTGTGCTCAGCCTGCCCACCGTCCACGTGCCGCCCTCCTCGGGCAGACCAGTCACCTCGCGGCGACCGTCTCCCCCGTGTTACTCCGATTCCCCGGGGAGGGAGATGGAGGCCGACTTCCTGTCCGGCACCCGCCCGCCCCCTCGGGGCTGACCCGGCACCCACTCACTCCACAGCTCACCGTGGGCGTCCTGCAGGCCGCGGAGCTGCCCGCCCTGGACATGGGCGGCACCTCGGACCCTTATGTCAAGGTCTTCCTCCTTCCAGACAAGAAGAAGAAATATGAGACCAAAGTCCATCGGAAGACGCTGAACCCTGCCTTCAACGAGACTTTCACCTTCAAGGTGACAGGCTGGCCCGCTGCGGACCTTCCCCTGGTCCTGGGCTGTGGCTGAGGCCCAGAACCAGCTCGGCCTGGACCCGAGCCTGGGTGTCTGCAGACTTGGCAGGTGTCCTGCAGGGCCCCCAGAGGCCCCGAGCTGCCCTGACCCCTCCATCCTGCCTGTGCCCTGCAGGTGCCCTACCAGGAGCTGGGGGGCAAGACCCTGGTGATGGCCATCTACGACTTTGACCGCTTCTCCAAACACGACATCATCGGGGAGGTGAAGGTGCCCATGAACACCGTGGACCTGGGGCAGCCCATCGAGGAGTGGAGGGACCTGCAGGGCGGAGAGAAGGAGGAGGTGAGGGCAGGAGAGCTTGGCGGGTCTGCCCCACACCCCCGGCTCTGTCTGCAGACAGGACGCGTCACTCGTGTTTCTTCCGCGGCTTTGGGCCCACTTAGGGCCGGCGACCCACCTGGGGACCACATTCACCCACAGGGAGAGCCCACATTGTTCTAGAGGATTCTCAGCAAGGGGGGGGCCTGTCTTCCTAGAAACTGCCACAGCACGCACGCACTCATTCGCCACATATTTATTGAGCACCTACTGTGTACCAAAGCCCCCATTTAGCCCCCATCCCTTCCCAGCACCAGCCGGGCGTGTTGGCCGAGTCCATGCAGGTCGCCCGGAGGAAGGGTCAGCACCCTGACCGGGCTGTGGGTGAGGCGGCCAGCCTGGGCCCCGAGGCCCGCCTCTGAGAAGCCTCGACTGTGCCGTGGCGCCGGCCGAGCTCTCGGGCCCAGGAGCCCCCTCTTGCTAGTCACGAGGTCCTTGCCCTGTGACGCTAACACAAGGAAAGGGATGCCGAGGGCTTGGAGGACCGCAGCTCGCTCTGCAAGTGGGATGGCTGTGATCAGGAAGGGGGGCTCCCCGCATCCCCTCTTCGTCCCCCTCTGCCACCTGCCAGGCTGGGGAGGGGCCCCGGCAAACCCTACGCCGCCAGCAGCCTGTCCTCGGCACTGCAGTGTCCACCTGTCACGGCCAGGGCTGTGCCACCCCTGGCCGAGGCCCCGAGGGGGTCAGCTGTGCTGGACACAGGCGCTGCTGCGCTGACCGCGTCCCCTTCCCCCGACAGCCGGAGAAGCTGGGTGACATCTGCACCTCGTTGCGCTACGTGCCCACGGCTGGGAAGCTCACCGTCTGCATCCTGGAGGCCAAGAACCTCAAGAAGATGGACGTGGGTGGCCTTTCAGGTGTGTGCGTGGCTTCTGGCCGCCATCGGGGGCACCTGCCAGCCGGTCGCGGCCCAGAGCCCTCGACCTGGATAGCAGGCCTCAGATGCGCGGGACACACAGGCTGTCTGAGCGGCTTTGGGTCCTCAGGGCAGGACGGGGCGGGGAGCCCCGCTGAGAGCTGCCTTTCTGCTGCTCTCCCTGTGGGCTCTGGAGGGAAGGGGTCAGGGACGTCACCCCCAGGTGAGGCAGGGACAGGGAGGGCAGGCGGTGGGAGGGCTCGGCCTGACGCGGGCCCTTCTACCGGGGGCGGGGGAGATGGGGGTGGCCCTGCCTTGGAAGGGGCTCTGGGCGGGGCTGGGGGGTGCGACTGCCCGGCCTCCTGAACTGCTCAGGTTCCCGCCAGCCCAGCTCTGTCCCTGAGCCCCCGTGTGACCTCGGGCAGACGGGTGCCCTTCTCTGGGCCTCGTTGCTCATTGACAAGGTCGGGAGAATGGGATGGGGTGGGTCGCTGACGTGCCCCCTGCCCAGGACGGACACCACCCAGTGGCCCCCTGGCTCCTCACTGAGCGCCGGCCCGTCCCAGCAGAGCCCCGAGCTCCAGGCGGCCACAGCCCTGGCGGGTCCCAGAGGTGAAGCCTCTGGCTGCCCTGGCCCGGAAGCTGGCTCTGCCATCCCTGGGCTGGCGGGCCGGGCGCGTGCTCAGGGCCTCGCCGGCTGCCTCCGCACAGACCCCTACGTGAAGATCCACCTGATGCAGAACGGCAAGAGGCTCAAGAAGAAGAAGACGACAGTGAAGAAGAAGACCCTGAACCCGTACTTCAACGAGTCCTTCAGCTTCGAGATCCCCTTCGAGCAGATCCAGGTGCTGGGCTGGCAGGGGTGGACGTGGGGCGGGTGGCCTCCCCCAGATGCTACAGATGGCCGGCCGGCCATGCCCGGCACTTCCCAGCCCGCCCCTTTTCTGGGGAGGTGAGCGGGAGCTGCTCACAGACACCTCCTTTTGGCCGCGAGGTGGTGGCAGGGCGTGTGTGTGGAGAGGCTGCAGCCGCTGAGGCGGTGGACGCCCACCTGCCCCTGCTGCCCCTCCACCCCCCAGTCCAGGTCACTTCCTCCGTGAAGCCTGCCCTAACTCACCAGCCGGACATCACTCCCTCTGAGGTCCCGAGGTGCCTCCTGCTGGCCTCTCGGGTGTGACCTTTGTCACCTTGCGAGGATGCGTCTGCCCTTCTGCTCCCAGGCGCTCAGCACGCTGCCGGGGGCCTGTGTTCAGTCGTTGGTAGAAGCGAAGAATGCGTCAGAGGCACGGGCCCCACCTCTGTGTGCCTGCCCGCCCAGTTAGAGCTGGGGAGGGAAGGGCCAGCCGCCGGGCGCTTCTCCTGCCCACTGCCCCCCCTCTGCCCCCTGCAGAAAGTCCAGGTGGTGGTCACCGTGCTGGATTACGACAAGCTGGGCAAGAACGAAGCCATCGGCAAGATCTTCGTGGGCAGCAGCGCCACGGGCACGGAGCTGCGGCACTGGTCCGACATGCTGGCCAACCCCCGCCGGCCCATCGCCCAGTGGCACTCACTGAAGCCCGAGGAGGAGGTGGACGCGCTGCTGGGCAAGAACAAGTAGGGGCCGCGGCCAGAGCCGCTGCTGCCTCAGCTGGGCAGCCCTCGAGGCGTCCCTGCCCACCCGTGTGCGGCCGTGCCCTCGCTCCTCTGCCCTCGTCCTCTTTCTAAAGACCCCCTCCCTCCAACGGCGGCTGAGGAGGGCCCCTCGGAGGTGAGAGAAGCCTGGCCCATCGTCGCCCCGGGAGCTTCCTTGCTGCATGCCCGCCACCCTCCTCCTCCAAAGCTCCGCCCAGCCCTTACCCCGAGGGAGGCTCTCTCGGCAGAAAGTGGTGGCATTTTCTGTTTTCTGAGCGTTCCGGACCAACGCAATGGCAGCACCTCCTGACTCCTGACGGAAGGCAGCCAGCGGCCAGGGATCCGTGCGTGTGTGCGCATCCCCTGTGCTCGTGGAGGGCCGCGGACAGGGTGCCTTGTGGGAGCAGAGGGCTTAGAACCCTGCTCAGACTGGGGAACTCCCACGCTGTGTGGGAGTGGCTGTTTGTTTGGGAGGCGAGACGGGGAGACTGGACTGTGCAGAGCCAGGACCAAAGCCCGGTGCCGGCGTGGACCTCCTCCTGCTGCCGGGGGCTTCCCGGGACACCACAGACCTGAGCTATAGGCTAGACTGGCTGGACTTGAACGGGGACTGTCCATCCCGCGACCTCACCTTGCTGACGGGTGATGTCAAACCGCAAAGAAACAGAAGACCCGCTTCCCAGAAAGGCCCAAATGAAACTGCCGGGCCTTTGCCCTTGCGGTGGGAGACCCAGATGTCGGCTCCCTTTCTAGGACGGAAGCCAGCAGTCACTGGCATCTCTTCCCCTCCCGCCTGTGCTTCTCCCTTAATCAAAGTGGAGCTGCGCTGTCTGAAGACACGGTATCCGTTCAGGGCCAGAGGGCTTGAAAAGGAAGGTTTACAGGTTCTTAGCTCCCCTGAGGCCCAGGTAAGGAGGGGAGGGTAGTGGACAGCTAGCTGAGTTTTCCCAGGGGTCCTGCGGGGAGGCCCCGCCCAGCACTCCCGAGGGACTTGCTGTGAATCCCGAGGAGCAGGGCGGCCATTCCGAGCGGTGGCGGAGGACATGGGCCGGGTTCTGCCCCGCGGTCACTGTGCTCGTTCCCCGCTCACCTCGTGTCCCCAGCATCGATAAAAAGCCATATATACGTTAGTCCAGTGTGCACCGAGTCTCCTTCCAAACCTGCAGCCTGGGCGAGAGCATCCGGCCCCCCTCAGCCGCCCTCGTCTCTGCAGCTGCAGGCCCCGGCCCTCTCCTCGGCCCAGAACACTCAAGGCTTCCCAGACCCGGAGCTGCGCCTCTTTCCCAGCACCCGTGGCAGCACCTCCCACCCCGTCGAGCCCCCCTGGCGTCTGCAGGCACCTGAGGCAGAGGGACGTCTCTTTCACTGTCAGAAAGGAGCAGGCATGTGTTCCTGCCCGGCTGCGTTTCCCGGCCGGGCAGGTGGTGAGAAGCCGTCTCCTCCAGGAGCAGCAGCTGGGCAGTGGGGCTCAGGCTTGCCCGTGGCCCTTGGTCCTCAGGAAGTCATTCTTCACTTGATGCCGAGAAGCTGGGACCTGACGAAGACTGTGGGCTGGTCCTAGGGCCCGGGCTGTAGGACAAGAGTGAGGCTTCAGGCCCGGGGGACCACAGGGGGCTGTCCCGGCCTGGATGCCCCCCTGCAGAGCTATGGGATCTGGTGCTTCCTCGGGGCCCCCTCCCCCCCAGCCTCCCCCGGGGCCCACAGAGCTGACTTCTCACCCTCCACCTTCACTCTCCCGCCCCTTCCCGACCACCTTCCACCATCTGGGATTCTCGTCCACCCTCCTGAGCCCAGGACTCGCCTCTCTCCCGGCGGGAAGGGGAGAGGCTCCGCAGCACGTCTGCTGCTCTGGGGGTCCTGGGCCCGGAGACGCGGCTGGATTACGGCTCTGGGCCCACCTCGAGTGGGTAGCCTCAGGAGCAGGGAGGTTGAGTGTGGGCACCAGTGCGGAGCCGAGGGGACGCGGGAGGGGAGCAGTGTGCTCCTGGGTTCTGGCCGGTCCTGGCTGGGCCCCTGCCTCAGAGGAGCCGTCTGAGCAGAAGGCATCTACCGGGCCCACAAACTAGGTGGGGAAACAACACTGGTCCCAAGTGTCCTGCACCTGAGGGTCCTTACCCAGTCCACAGAGCACCTTCACTGCCACCAGGCTCGTTTCTGGCGTGTCGGCATCCTGCCCTGAGTGGGCCAGAACTAAGGTTGGCTACGAGGGGTTCTGGAGGCCTCCAGGCTGTGCGTTTTCACTCCCAAAGTCTATTGCAGAGAGGAAAGTAGAAGAGGCGATTTTTACAAAGGGACTGAAACCATGAAAAACAAAACCCAGTGCCACCCAGAAAATGGAGGTGAGGCCAGAAAGCTCTGTTTCCTCCTTTCTCCTTGAATAATCATTCCAGAGTGGAACCAACTCCGCCAGGGCTCTGGGCACGTTTCCGGACTTTGGCCGCGGAAGCTGGGGGAAGCCCCCGATGATGAGCGACCGGTGCCGGGCCGGATGGGAAGTGACGTTCCGGGTCGCTCGGCTGGGGGAAGGGACAGCAGGGATGCACGCAGCCTCAGGCCTGGTCTTTTTACTTCCCAGGAACCATATGTAGCTTGTGCTTCTAGAATCGGTTTGAGATGGTCTTGCTGGCCCAGGGCTTCAGTGAGGGGTGGGGGTGGGGTCGCTGCAGCTCCCCCGCTAGCCCTGCAGTGGGAGGTGGTGGGTGAGCGAACTGGGGGGACCGCCCCTGGGGTTGGGGAGGGAGGGCGTCCCGTCCCCCACGTGTCTGGCTTCTGTTTCCCTCAGCCCCACAGAGAGGCTGTCCCTGGGTCTCCCTCCACTCCATCCCCCTTCCTGCCTCAGAGCCCTGGTTCTGCCCTGGGTGGTGGCAGACAGGGGAGGGTCCCCAGGCCTGATCGTGGTGACCCTCAGCCCCCCAACATGGTTGCCAGATTTGGCAAATAAAAATGCAGGGCACCAAGTTAAATTTGAATTTCAGATAAACAACCAATAATTTCAAAGTGTAAGTAAGTCCCTCCTAGGCGCTGTTTGGGACTCACCCGAAACTCAGGCTGCCCCGCCGTCCACGCTCTGTCTGGCAGGCCAGTCCTGCGACCACTTCTGCCTCGCTCTCACCCCGAGCCTCGGGGCAGGGACAGGTCACCAGGATTCTACCCATTCTTTGAGCTGCAATACTGGGAAGGGGGACACTGTGACTTGAAGACACAAGAATATATTTTTTAAGCGACAACAAGAACCTTCTGAAGCCATTTGAGCCTCACGGAGAGGGTGGTCACCTGTGAACACGACCCCAGTCTCGTCCCACCAAGATGCATGTCTCAACTCTGTGTAAATAACCGCATGGCAATGCTGAGTGCCCCCAGCCCCGTTTTACACAACTTGAACTGCTCCTTCGACTCTGTGTGTAAAGTCCTTCCCCTCGCCCTCCCGGCCCCCCTGCCCTGCCATGCGCGGGGGGCGGGGGGAGTTGGCCTCTGGCCCTGGTCTGACCAGGGGACCGTGGGCAGAGCTGACCCTCGGCGCCCTGCGTCCAGCCCTGTGTCCTGTGTGTGTGTGTGTGTGGTGTGCCCCCTCCTCCCACTCTCTGAATTCACTGAAAAGCCATACAGGGGCCCCTGCGGGGCCATCCTCCCAGGGCTCCCCTCAGGACACTCGTGAAGGGCTCACCCATCGTCATCTCTGCTCCCAGCCCCATGTTGCGAGGACGGATGGTGTCCAGGTCTCCCAGTGGGGCCCCAGCAGATGCCCCCGCTGGCCCGGCTCCCTCACCTGGTGTTGCGGTCCGACTCCACGTGGGGGGGTGGATGGGCCATGGGGTACCCCGTGCAGGCGACGAGGGTTCTCAGGAGCTGTTGGTGGCCAGGTCTGTGGTCAGGTCCCCGATGCCGCCCGGGTGGACAACCAGCCCTGCTCACGTGACACTGGGGGCTTGGGGGGCCAAGGGTGGCAGTGGGGAGGGACCCCGGGGGCTGGAGAGCACAGTAGGCCAAGCTCCCCCGCATGCTCTCTCCTGCGGCTGGGCGGCTCTGGCTACGAGGGACCCTCGCCAGCGCCCCGGCCCAGCCCCGGCCAGGTGTCCCATGGGAGGGCGGGAGGTGGAAGGGGGCCGGGGGGCCCCAGGTCCCGAGCCATCTCGCTGAACCAGGAGGGACAGTAGCCGCAGGCCCCGGTGCAGAGGAACGCCATGCACGGGAGCGACCCCTCCGGCCAGCCCTGATGGGAGGAGGGGGAAATGCAGGGGGTCTGACAGGAGCGCCGACGAGGCCGCAGGTGGACAGGTGGGCCCTGTGCGCTACGAGCCAGGCCCCTTGTGCTGGGGGGGTGGCGGGAGCCGGGGATGCGTAGGGCCCCCCTCAGCCATCGGGACCCCAGGACCCCTTCCGAGAAGCCAGACGTTCTGCCCTGGCGCTTCCTCTCCGAGGGCGGGATCTGCTGCTTCTGAAATCCTGGGGTCTGAAGACTGCAAGAGCATGGCGGGCAGGCCCCAGGCCCCCTGGCACGCGCAGCCCCACCAGGACCCCTGCCTTCCCCATCCCAGGAAGGACCCATGTCCAGCACCCACCCCCCCGCCCTGTGGACTCTGTTCTTGTCTCATCTCTTGTCAACATGTTCTTTTGTAATAAGCGGCATCTCCTTATTAAAGGAATGAGCTGAAAGCACGCTGGGGGCGGTCTCTGGTGGTTCCTGCTGGGCTGGGGAGCAGGAGCCGCCCCCAGGGTCAGCGCGGGGGGTGAGGCTGGGGACACGGCTCTTCCCTCAGGGGCTGGAGGAACCAGAAGGCCAGGCCAGGTCCGGCTGGGCGGTGGGCGCGTGGGCCCTCAGGGCAGCTGCTGGGGCGAGGCTAGACCCCCGGCTCCCCACTGCCAGCAGAGCCGGGCTCGGGGCGCGGCCACCGTCTGGCCCTGGGGTAGGGTCAGAGGACGGACGGTTCCTACAAGCCCTCGGTTAGCTCACCGCAGCCGACTTCTTCAGACATCTGTGACTCCTGAGGCTGAGGACGGGGCTTCAGGATTTTCTGGAAAGAGACGGTAGGGCAGCACCGCCCCCAGACCTGGAAGGGTGACCCATCCTCACTGCGATCTGGAGGCCGTCTCCTCAGGGAGGCCCCCGCAGCCCCTCTGCCGCAGGTAGAGCGGGGCGTCCGGCTCAGGGCCAAGCTCCAGGGACGAGAAGGCAGAGCCTGTAAGGCTGGCCTGGCAGAGGCTGTGATTGAGCACGAGGGCTGGGGAGTCTTCAGGAGGGAAGGGCCGGGCCTCACCGCCTCCAGGCGATGCCCAGTCTCCGCTGACTGCCAGGGCCCAGCGGGCACCCAGAGGAGCCCTCACTCCAGACCTGATCCTTTGCCTCCGACTGGGGCCGCAGGCCAGCAGCCGGGTGGCCGCAGGGGAGAAGACGCCTCCCTCCCTCACCTCCGCGACCTCCAGCTCGGTGACGGGGCCTCCGCTGGGTGTGAATGGGGTCTGAGCAAACCAGATGGGGTACGCTAGGACGGACGGAGGGCCCGACCCTGGCCCCCCTGCCAGCGGCCGAGCACCTTAGCCTCCAGTGACCCCCACCAGCTGCCTTTAGAGTTTGGAGCCATGGAGCGGTTCTGGCTGCCCTGAACCGAGCGGTGGCCCTGCAGAGACAGTGCTGCACGGAGCAGCGGGCAGAGACCCCGGGAACCCAAGGAAGTCACCTTCTCAGGGCCCCGGCCGCCCGGGGTGAGAGCACCAGTGCCCACCCCCGAGGCTGGGAGCCCCCCAGGCTCCTCCTTGGCCCCTGTGGCCGTCCCTGGGACAGAGGCCCCCAGTGGCAAGGATGGTGACATGAAACTACCACAGGCTGGCCCTATGTAAGGTTCTATAAACCCCATTTCCTAAACTGGCCCTATGTAAGGTTCTATAAACCCCATTTCCTAAACTGTGGAGACAGTCACAAAGTTAAAACACAATTTACTTATTTATAAATACTGTTGTGTTTACAGGCATCATGTAGATGTGGATATTATTATTCCCAAACTTTCAAACACAGAATACTTAATAATACTATATAATAACCAGTAAAACAAAATCATTCATCTCAGAGTTGAAAGGCCACTCAGAATTGCATAAAAATACATTCAGCTCACAAAGCGCATCTGGGTCCCTCCCTAAACCCCTATCCCCACCACGTGTATTTACAACGGAGCCGACTTAAAACGGTCCCTCTGGTGCTTTCTTGGAGGGGAAGTCAGGTGGGGGTAAGGTGAACAGAGACAAAATGCTACCCCTGGAATGGGGGTGTGGAGACCCCAGGGAGGGTCTCACAGCTCTTTCCACCGATCAAGACAGAGGCAGAGGGAATGGAGGGGGACGAGGGGGGACCACGGCGCTGCAGCCTGAGTCAGAGTCCCCCATGGCGGCACATGGGGACACAGTCTCGCTCTCCCCCACCTGGGGGCCAGCCTGACAGCAGCCCCAGCCTTTCAGGGGTGCAAGGGGACCCCCACCCCTGCGGCCCACCCCCTGCTGTCTTGGCTTGAGCCCCTCGCCTTTCCCTCCGAGCCCCCTCCCCAGAAGAGCGTGGTATGGAGAGAAGACGCAGGTCAGGCTCAGAGGCCAGCCTAGCACCCCACGTCCAGGACCTGCCCCCACCCCGAGTCCTGCTTCTGTGAGACCATCGAGGCTTCAACGAGGCCCCCGGGGCCCTGCCTTTCCTGAACCCGCTCCTGCAAGGCAACAGCAGATGAGCCACTGTCCCAGACGCACCGACACTGCCCGGTGCCCTCCTGAGGACTCACTCAGTCTCTAGCTGCGCAGACGAGGCCAGGCTGCCCATGGGCCCCGCCCAAGCTAGGGGCAAACCTCACCTTCGAGGGGGAAGTGGCACAGCCAGTCAGCTTTGCAACCGGAAGAGTCGGGGCTGATTCGTGGACAATCTCTCCTCTAAAGCACCACCAGCTCCAAGTGAGAAAAGCAAAAAATTAATGGGGAGGAAGATGAGAGTAGGCGGGAGGGTGAAAGGTGTGTTTATTTTGCAAAGACAGGAGCATCGTGAGGTCGCCTTAAAGGGCCACCCAGGAAAAGTTTACTGGGAGCATTAGGGGAAAATCTGGAGAAGTAACAGAAAAGGTCACTCTGGCAGATTCCCAGTCCCAAATGATAAGCAGATTAATTGGAGAAGAAGCTCAGAGAGAAGCCCTCTGGGGAATGGAGGGGGGAAGCAAAAGATATGAGTTAACAGAGTAACACACTTGGATGAAACTGGGTGATGAGACTGCATTTTGAAATCTCCATGTAGCAAACACGCATGTGCACACAGGCTAGAAGCAAGAGTGACCCCCAAAGCTCGAAACCTCCTAAGGCAGCATCCAGCCAACCCTCAGCCGTGTCTGTCTCTAGATGTGCTTCCCAAGGAGGGGCTCCCAGGACCCCTCCTCAACCTGACGTCCGACCGCGACCCTCACAGGAGGGGCTGCATCGCCTGCTACGCGGCCACCGGCCGGTCCAGATTCTCCCGAGCCCACCTCACTCCCAAGCAGCTGTGACAACGACGGTTCCCGGGGCCGCAGTGAAGCTGATCTACTGCCCAATCTAATCAGAGCACAAGCGATCAGTGGCCATCCTTGACACAGCCTACACACCCATCCGGGGGGCCGAGCAAAGCTGAGGGATGCGGGCCCCAGACCCTGGCCCTCCCCCTCCTCCCCGGGGGCTGCTCGGTCCTGCAGCCTTTAGTGTGAACTCCCTGCAGCCCTGCTCAGGGGAGGGACCTCGGCTTGCGACAGCCCACAAAACTAAAGGCTGGGGTTTCCTCGAGGAAGGCCCTCTGGTGCTTAAGGCAGAGCTGAGACTGAGTGGCCGGTGGGGAGAAACACAGTGGGTCTGCCGTCTGGACGCCAGGAGCCGGGCCCCTCCCGTGAGAACCACTCATCCAGAGGCCGTGTTTCCACCCCCGTGGGTTTGCATATTCTCACCAGGCCATCAGGAGGGACGGCCACTACCCTCCAGACTGAATTCACTTTCGCACCTTGACACACTCTTAAACCATCTGAATGAGAAGAAAAGTTTTGAAGTTAGAGCAAAAACTCTGAGTGAGAAATGTTCTGGTCTCCCTAGGAATCAACAAATCACAGACGCTCAAGCCAAGAAGGGGTCCTGAGGACCACCGACCCAGCCCCCTTTCACAGACGGCCGCACGGCGGGTCAGGACAGGCGCTGGCCCCGGGCCCCGACGCCCAGTCCTTTCAGCGGCCTCGTTCTGCCGCCACAGCTGCCTTCCTACAAGGTCAGGAGACACACCCTCCGAGGTGCTGAAACCTGCCTTAAAACTCAGTAATGGGGACCACGCTCTGTACTTGTAACTGGGCCCCGACAGGGGCAGGACCACCTATGACCGCTGGCCGCCACGTCCAGAGTCAGGGGTGGTGCTGGAGGCCAGGATGCCAGCGCTCACCCAGTGGATGGAACCAGGGGCCCACTCCCTACTGACCCAGCTGCTGAGTCCCCGAGGTTTTCCCTTCGGAGGCACACGGTGGCCTGGAAGCTGGGAAGCCCCTCTGTCTGTGTCCGTCTGGGTGGGAGAGGCCTGCTCCAGGGCCAGAAACCTGGAGACGGAGACGAGCTGCTCCCCTCCACGCTGGCAGTTCACACACACCTTGGTGGGGTCCACAGGCTTGGAAGTGGGATTCCAGCTGCCTTTTGCCCCGAGTGGCGCTAACATGCACACGATTTGCTCAGCGCAGGGAAGCAGAGGAGCTGACGCCCTGCAATTGGCCCGAGGAGACAGGCCAGGGCGCGTCCTTCCTTCAGACCCTTCCAAGGCCCAGCCTGGGGCCTCAGGCACGAGGGGGAGAAGCAGTGAGGCTTCAGCCAGAGACTCAGACTCTCAGAGGCTGGTTGTCCCTCCCAGAGGTGCAACCTGTCCAGAAAACAGCTGGCCAAGGCCGACGAGGCCCTCCCCCCAGCACTGACCACCCATCCAGGCACCGCGGTGACAGGGCGCAACCCCAGAGGTAGCGAGGGGGCCCCTGACCATCACCTCGCGGACCAGCACAGCCTGGAAAGAGACCAGATTCAGAGTCTGTCTCACAGACTTAGTTGCATAAGAGAGAAAGCGCCTGAGATCACGGGCTGGTCCACACCACGGGCTCTAGCCACAGAGCCTGGCTTCCTGAGTGGAGAGGCCTGACACAGAGGGCTGGAGGGAGGCGCGGGACACAGCCCGACCGGGTTCCGAGAGCCGCCCGCGCCCCCGAAAGGCACAGACGGAGCGGAGGGCGTGCTGCGGCCCCTCTGCCTGGTCTGCCTGATGCAAGAGAGTCCAGGTGACGTCCTAATAATTCAGTTTCCTTTTCCAGTCCTGGCCCAGCACCCAGGGTGTGCCGGAGAGCCAGGGTCAAGGCCAAGGCCTCGTGCCCGCTCCCCTCCCCCAGAACAAAGGAAACGCTACAGTGGAAGATATGAAACTTCACTCTCAACATCCCCCCCACGCAACCCCCCCGGCCCCGACGACACAAATCACCCCCGCCCAGGCGTCGTTCCTCGCAGGAAATGGCCGGACATGGAAGGTTTTGCACACTCTGAGAAAGGCGTTTTGCCCCAGGAGACAAAGCTCCTATCCCGAACTGGGACCTTGATCATGGCTCTGGGTTAAAGAGCATGTGACGCTTCTGAGGGCCATGGAAGGGGCTGGAAAGAAAGAGAAACTAGACAGAGGTAGCGTATGTTGAGAACGGACCGCTACACACTAAGTGTCTCCGGCAACCCCAAAGCGACCTGCACACTCAAACCAGCCGAGCGATAAAGCGCCTACAAAAAGCAAACACTTAAGTGTTAATACTGGGGCATCATCAAGAACTCATGACCCAATTCTGTGCTGAACCCAGGGAGCCACCTGTCCACGTTTTCGTCCAGAGAAGGACAGCCAAGACGCGGCAGGTGGGAAAAGCAGGGCACGTGGGGACCGACTTCCAGGCCCAGGGGAGCGTCAGCACCTCGGGGGTCCCCAGCCACAGGTACGGCAGGGCTGTCACGTAACAGGGGGACCCTCAGGAAGACCTCAACTCTCATCCAAGCCGCCCAGCTTTCGAGCGATCAAGGCGCAGCCGCCAGAGGCTCCCTGACGGCGGGGTGGGGTCCCTGGGACACAGCCTTGGCCACCGGGTCTCGCCACTCCGAGTCCAGACTCGTTCCTCCTGCTGGCTTCCGGGCAAACAATCGTCTCTCCCCTGGACATGCCCCAGATGCCATCAAGCCCACCACGCTCACAGCACAAGGCATGAGGGGGGGGGCCTCAGACGCCCCCACGCCTCCTCACAGCGGCGCCACTTCTCTTCAGGAGAGGAGACCAGGTCAAAGGGAGGTGGGGCAGGCGGGTGTTCTAGCAGAGAAACGCTGCGTGGGGAGGACGGCGGGGAGCTGAGCCCGGCCTGGCCGGGGAGAGGCCGGCGGTACCACTGCCCGGGCACACCGCTGGGGTCGGTGCTCTGTCCCAGCGCCCACCTCCCGGGGCACGCGCCGCGGGGCGGACGGAGGAAGGAAAGTAAAAGGGCAGAAAGGGAAGAGGCAAGCCCGGTCACCTGAGCCCTGGGGAGAGGGCCAGACACGGAGGGAACGGGCGTTAAGACCAGTCAGGTGCCACTGGGTTGCTGGTAGAAAAAATTCCACCACCACCGGCGGGAGTTAGAGAAAAGTCAGTTCCTGAGAGGCAAGGACAAGCAGGGGCCCCAACGTGGAGTCACTGTCAACTTGGATCTAGTGGCGGCAGCTCCAGAGGCCTCCCCATGTGTGTCCCACATCAGAGCGCATGGTGGTGGCAGCAGGGCTGGGGCCTGGACCAAGTGCTACATGGACCAGAGGCCCGGCAGCCGGAGGCCGGGTCCACGGCTGGCCTGGCGACCCCCAGGCCTCCACCAGACGGCTCTAACGGTTGAGGGATCGCAGTCGCGCTTTGATGAAAACTGTCTGAACCCCAGCAGCGGGGGCCAGAGGAGGGGACACGGAGGGTGCAGAGGCGGCAACTGGACGACGGCCAGAGAAAGGTCCTCGTGGCTCCTCTTGGCCGGAGGGCGCCGGCGGGGGGAGAGGCGGGGCCAGCGCCGTCCCGGGAAGCCAGCGCCTGGCCTACTTGGACAGCTTGCTGATGACCCTGATGAGGGCGCCGTTCTCGTCCTTCAGCCTCTGGTTGTCGGATTTCAGTTCTGTCAGGACCTGCCGGCGGAAGGGAAAGGTGAGTCAGTCTGGCTGGTGACGGGGACCAAGTGCCCTTCTTCCTGCTCACGGGCTGGTGACGGTACCGCACGGGGCCACAGCCCCCCCGCGCACACAGCAGGAACAGCCCCTTCCCCGCGTGCCACCCTCTCCTTCTCCTGAACCAGTAACTATTCCAGGGTTTCCTCCCCGGAACTCACCTCTGGTTCAGAGAAACCAGGGCAGCGCCATGTGTGCTGGGGACACAGGGAAGGGTCAGAAGAGGTGATGGGGTGAAGGGAAGGAAGGCGGGAACGCGTGGTGGGGGGCACAGCTCGGCTTTCCCATCACACCCCCAAGACGACTTAGGGTCTTGCTTCTGGTGCCGTGTGCCGGAACCCGCTGAGGTCCCCGCTGGCCGTAGCACATGTGTCCACAGTCAACCCCCAACACCCAGGAGCCCTAACCTAACCTAACCATCTCCCACAGCAGAGCCCTAACACCCAGCCCCCCAACACCCAGGAGCCCGAGCATGCCCTCAGGGGGCTGGGGCTCTGCTGTGGGAGATGGGGGTGGAGACGTCTGTTCTCCCAGCCCGGCCTCCCCGGACCGTCACACTGTGTCGCACAATTCGTGAAGCCCAGGCTGGGCAAGTGTGGGGTGTCTGACAGCCCCGACGGGTCCCGACGAGGGCACGCCTGGTGTGCGAGCCTTGCTGGCGGCAAGAGAGAGTCAGGTCAGAGGGAAAGTGCTTCTTCACTGTGAAGGCGACAAAAATCCACACCCACATTTGTCTGGGGCGAGTGTCCTCTGGTCAGTCATTCAAACCTACAGGCCCCTCCATGTTCCCAGGGCTACTTCCAGTTCTGGCTCTGCTGTTAGCACCCAGGGGTCAGTCAGCTCCCCGTAAAGAAAGGAACCGTTCCCTCAGCCTCTCACGGAAGATGCAGGTTAAGTCGCAGAGGGAGACCTAACCTCATGTGCACAGACCACAGACACACGAGGCACTGGTATGGAGGGAACAGAACATCGGAGCACCAGGACGGCCTCAGGGTCTGTGACGCAGCCATCCTCAGGTCCACAGACGGCCTGAGTCCAGCATCACTAGCGCAGCACGGCACAGCTCCTCACGGGAAAGCACACACTGACTGCAGAGCTCACCCCTTCCCCGCAGATGCGGTCGCGGGCCGGAAGCCGCGACCGTCATCCGTGAGCTGTGCCGCTTGCGGCATGCCGCTCTCCTCTCTGGCTTTCCATTTTGTACCTAAAGAAGCCATCCCCGCCCTCGTCCCTCACAAAGAGGGGCTCCGTGGGGGCCACAGCTGTGACAGCATGCAGTTAGAGGGCGTTAATCCAGGAAATACCAGAGCAGGCCTGTCCTCTGACCTCTGACCTGACACCGTCGGAGCCTGGCCGGCCTCCCTCTTCTGCCTCCACCCCTTGGCCTCAACTGCCCAGACACTCAAGCCAAGAGGCTCGCAGCAGCCCGCGGGCGTGGCCTCCCTCCTCTTCCCCTGCCACGTGCCCTCCCAGGGCACCCCAGGGCCGGCAGCCTGGGCGCCAGCGAGACTCTCAGGCCGTGTTCCCACGACGGGAGCCCCGGGTGGGAAGAAGCTCTACATGGGGACAGGCCGTGTGTCACCGCTGGCAGCTCGGCAGGTTGGATCTGCACCGCCCCCTTTAAAAGCATGTACAAACGCACCCTCGAGCCTCGGAGATTTATGTCCCCATTGAGACTCAACTCTTTGGGAAAAACTTGGCCAAGGCACTTTCCCAGCTGCCCGAGCTCCCGCGGCCAGCTCCAGGGAGCGCCAGGAAGGAAGAGAGGGGCGCGGAGGAAGCGTGAGGAAGGCGGGCTCAGGAGGGAGAGGAGGCGGCGGAGGGGGTTCTTGGAGCCGCATGTGAGCACGGGCCGATTACGCACGGACACCCGTGGAGGCGCCGTGCACGACGAGCTTGCGCAGCTTCCCCGCTTCTAAGTGCCCGGTTTGCCGCAGTCTGACAGGAAGGACAAAGAGAACGACGCAGCTCCTCTCCAACGTCACCTCTTCCAACCTTGGGTGAGGAGCGTGCGGCGCGGGGTCCCGACGCTGCAGCGGCCCCGGGGGGAGGCCGGCCCTCCCGAGCGCCCGTCGGTGGGGACGGCAGCTCCTCCTGGAAGGGGCTGGGTGGCGAAGGCCCAGGTCCAAAGCCGCGTGGTCTCTGAGCAACGCCCACCTCTCAAGGGCCCACAGACACGGCGACGCGCACACAACGGCCTGGCTCCGGGAAGACGGCGCTTGTGGATGCTGGAACCTGACCCCACGGAATCCCCAGGCGCCTTCTGTGGGTTTCTCCGTGACCCGGGCGGGCCTCTCTGCGTGGCCCTGCTGAGGAGTCGGCACTGAGGGGCCGCAGGCTGCCCCCTCGCCCCATGCCAGGGCTGCCAGGCGGTGGGTGCGCAGCCGGCCCGAAGCCTGATGTCCTTGGCCTGCCCACCCCGTACCCTCCAAGTGACCTCGGGCAAGTTACTTCTTCTGTGACTTGGTTTTTCCCATAGGAAAAGTGACTGTTATGGGGAATAAATGAGAAAGGGCGAGTACAGGGCTCAGCACAGGCCCTCAGACGACAGCCGCCTCCAGGGTCACCAGCCCTCCTGATCTCACGCTCTCGCCACCAGGAGGAAACCGAGAAAACCGGGCCATCTTCCGGGGGCCCCGTCCGCCCCAGGTCAAAGCTGGCTCATCTCCTGGCGTGAAGCTTGGCCCTGACGTGCTGTCACGAGGAGGGCCGGCAGGCTGCTCGGGGCCGCGGGCCACCTCCCTCTCAAGTTTCTGTGTCACAGCATCTCCAGCAGGGTATCAGCTCCACCCGACAGTAATTCGGGTGCTTCAGATCTAGTGGGTACTAGTTGCCAGCTACTGACCCCGAAGACACAGCAAACGGGCACAAAGAAGAACAGGCCTGGGTCAGGACTAATTGGATTGTTGCTACAAATTAAAAACTCATATCAGAGAGTGAGACCGCTCAGCAGTGAGGACCCCTCACGCCGCCGCGGTGAGAAAACGAGCCACATCTGCGAGCCTGTCTGCAGACCCACATCCAGGGACAGGCGTCAAGTGCAGAAGATGCATTTTCTGGTTCTCCGGTGAAGACGAGCCCCCACTCCCCTGCCGCCTCCTCGGCAAGCCCCCTGCTGGCAGTGGGGCTGGGGGTTTGGCCGTGGGAGGGCACATCCCCAGGCCCAGATCTGTGACAAGGAGGAGGGCAACACCCACCAAGAAGGGAGAGGGATGGAAAGACCCAGCAGGGGGTGGGCGGAGCGGGGCTGGGTCAGTGCCCCCCCAGCGCTCGTTCTTGTCAGGTCCTGGGGCCGCGGTTCTCAGCCCAGCTGCACAACAGAACCAGCAGGGGAGCTCTGAACAGACACCCGGGCCTTTGCCTCTGAGGGGTGTCTGGCACAAATGTGCTCAAGCCCCCAGGTGTCTGGAACGTGTGGCCCCTGCCCTTGGTCACCGTCACCCCAGGTGCAACCCGACTGCTCCAGGGACTAGGTTGCACTTGGATTGCTGTTGATCAAGACCCTGACCTCCCCCCAGAAACGTGTGCGCGTCCACACACAAGTAGGCGTGGACCCGTCTGGCTGAGTGACCTGCGCTCCGTCTCTAGGGGAAGAGTCTCACCAAACCAACGGCAGCCCAGGCCAGGCCCCGGCCCTGGGTCGCCCCGGCCTATGCCGCCTCTGCAGACCACCGACCTTCACAGGAACCCGCGTGCAGGCTCTGGGGGGCGAGCGCAGAGCCCGGGACCAACAACAAGAGGGAACGTGCCTGGAGTGGAGGAGGGGAGGAGGGGGCAGGCCTAGAGCCCCTGGGGGTCCGAGCCCTCGATGGCCTCCGAGAGTCTGGCCACAACCCGGGTCAGGGCCCTGTTCTCAGCCTGCAGCTGCTCGTTCATCTGCTTCAAGGTCTGAATCTGTTTTAGCTGGTGGAGGTTCTGCAGAGAGTGAGACACGAGGGACAGACAAGCAGACAGAGACAAGACGGACCAGAGGAGAGAAAAGTGGGACAAAGAAATCACGTTGACATTTTGTTGACGTTTTGTTTTTGCTTTTAGTTCGCATGCAAGAAGGGAAAGGAGAGAGGCCAGAGGAATGGTGGGGGGGGGGGGGGCGCGGCCCAGGGCGCCCGGAGCTTCTCCCAAGTCCAGCTGCTGCCCTGCTCTCCGCTCCTCTCCTCCGCCCCCCCATACTTGGCCCCCTACTCCCACTTGTTTTCTTTCTGTGTCTTTCTATTACCTCATTTATTTCTCATTTAAAAAAATGGAACGAGGCAAAGAAGAGAGGGCCTGTTGTTGAAGTGTTTTCTGTGGGAGGCGCACCTACAGAAGACCCTCTACCTTTCCTGGAAGTATCATCGCCAGGCCTCCTCTGCTGCCCGGACGCCTGTTCCAGGATCAAGAACTGCCCACCTGCCCCCACCTGCTCCGGGAGGGTATGCACCAGGGAACCCATGGCAGATTATACTGTCTCTGCCCGGGTCACAGAGAGGCTGGGAGCTACTTAAAGCTGCCACAGCCAGCCTCCTGCGTGGAATCACAGCTCTGCACAAAGGTGGAGGGCATCGTGTCCAACGAAAATGGACCGGTGACCGATACCCTTGCCAGTCCAGCTGTTAGCATGTGTTGCAAATGGAACAGAACAACCCGCCCAAAGCCATGCTTCCCAATCCCCGTGTCCCACGAAGGATCTAAAGCCGGCAATAAACTGAGTCCTATCCAGGCCTGCTTCCTGTCACTAGTCCTTCCTAAGAGTTCTCTGACCCTGAAGCTGAGGCCACAAGCTCTGGGAGAGAGAACGGTCTTGTCATGCGAACGGGGCTTCACAGACAGAGATGACAATCCTGTGGGCTGTGGTGACTACAGACAGGTCGCCGGGCACCAGAGGAAGTCTCTCCTGCCCACGTGGACAGGAAGGACAGAAATGAAAGATGGGAGGAGTTATAGCTGTTTGGGAGTGAAAGCAGCAAGAAAATGAAAGGCAGCATGAAGATGAAAACAGTGAAAAGGAAAAACAAGCAGAGACAAACGGCTGCATCTCTTTCCCCACAGAGGCAGCATCGCCACCGTGGGAAAAGGGAGGGTAGCCACACAGTTCTGAGCAGCCTGCAGCGGCCGGGAGAGGACAGAGAAGGTCGTGGGGCAGCCTGCGGGACCAAATTTAAGAACCAATGGAGAGTCCCTGACTCTCACCCTTCTTTGGGTCGACACTGGACCGAAGCTTTCAAGGCAGTCACGGTCCTTACGTGAAGCGGTCCTTGCCTCCTGGTAATTAACGTTAAACTAGGAGGACGATTCCGGTGAACTTGTGCACAGGCAGGCAGAGGGGGAAGAATGTGGCCATAAAGGCAGGAAGCTGCCGTGGGAGCGAGGCTGAGAACAAGGCGTGGTGGGGAGGCGGTGGGAGGGCACAGAGCAGGGTGGCCGGGCAGGCTGCCAGGGCAAGGAGATTGAAAAATCCGAGAGCAATCTCATCTCAATCTCCTCCCATGCGCGGGCCTGGGGCAAGGGGAGGAGGCGCCACGGGAAAGCTCTCCGCCCGACGCAAGCATGCTGACCCGCACGCCCGGCGGAGGCTGGGACACGACCCCGCTCCAGCCCAGCCCGCATGCGCTTCTCCTGGGGCGAGTCCATAAACACCTACCTTCCCAAGTAAAGACCAGAAAGGCGCAGCCTATGTCGCTACCACGGAGCCCCACACCCCACGCGCGAGCCCACCTTACGGCTCCCGGAGGCGGGGAACAGGCCCGAGTCCCTCTCTGTCCCTGAGCGCCTGGCTCCTCAGGGCTCACTGGAGGCCACAGCCCCTGCTCCCTGTGGGCCACGCCCGGAGGGGCTGAGCATCTGTACAAACTGGACCAGCTCCACTTGCCCTCAGCTCAACCGGGCCCGGGTGCGACCAGCACCTGTGCTGCGGCCGGCTACCGAGCACCCACGCGTGTCCCCAGACCGCTGTCTGCGTGCAGGGCACGAAAGCTGACCAAGCATCCCGAGCCTCCTGCAGCCAGCACGCCAGCTTCACGATGCTTGAGCCTGTACGTCTGAAGCCTCTGTCCCCAAAGAGGGTCCAGGTCGGCTGGCGGGCGGCTGGCACGGCCCCCCCAGTCCCTGGGTGGAGCGGGGCTGTCTGCTCCCCTGGCCGGGCTGCGAGCTGAGCGAACGCGCTCAGGGCTGAGCCGGCAGGAGCTTCTCCCCCAGGGGTCTGCGACTGGCAATGCACAACAAGGGCAGCTGACTCAAGAAGAAATTTTTTAACTAAAAGAAGATTGGCTTTCAATCAGTATACCTACTGGTATGGGGCCTAGACGGTCATGGCCAGGCTCCGCCTGAATTTGAGGTGGGCCAGCACACGACCCGGGGCTGAGCGGGGCACGAGCTTCCATGTACCTGACCTCCATTGAGGAAAGAAAAGGACTAACGACCTCGTTCATGAAATCTCAGCCCGAGAGGCTGATGAGACAGAGAGAAAGACGCACCTGCCCCAGCCCATGGCCCCAAGGGTGCCTGGCACCTCTGTACTCAGAGAGGGAATCAGGGGTGGGGGGGAACCCAGCTGCTCCCCCTCGGCTTGCAATCCGGCCCTCGTGTGGGGCTGAATGGATGAGAAAGCACCTCCCGGCTGGAGGGTACGAGGCGGCCTGGGCCCTCAAGGACCCTACAAGGCAACAGCTCGGGCCTTATCCACGCTCCTGATCAGCGTTTGGGCCATTTCTTAATGAGCATCCTGTTAGTTGCCAACAGACAGTATAACACAAGGGCTTCCAAAATGGAGGAGCCCCTGCACAATGTGAGCTGTGGACCTGCCATTCAGACCTGTCCAGCCTGCGAACGTGCTCTGAGTGGCAGGTGAGGTGGGCCTAGAGAAACCAGCAGCTGGAGAAGCAAAACCACCAGCTATTTTTGCTTCTGGCTGTTCTTGAGACGTAGGCGGCACTGCCTGACACCGCGTGTGGGCGTCCCGGCGCGTCCGGGATGGGGAGCGTGGAGCGCGCACAGGGCTTGCCCCTCCCGCGTGCAGCAGCCACGCAGACCAACAGGATTCCGGGCATTTGACCTTGTTGAGCCCTGAGCAACTTTTTTCAGTAAAGAACCAACCTTCTCAGGCCATGGGAGCAATAAACGTCTCTCGCAGAGGGCTCCTGGCCTGAGGGCTCTGCTCACACTTCCAGGAGCCAGAGGCATGTGTTTCATGAGGGAAGATCCGCCGAGGGAGGAAAGCAGCCAAGCGGCACCCAGCCACCGCGGCCGGCCCCACGCGCTGCAGCCCTGAGGCCCGGGTCCATGCACTCCCACATGCACTCCCTCTCCCCTCCCCTGGGCAGCGCGAGTGCGGCTCCCAGGACTCGCTGCCCGATGGTCACCGTCCCGGGGAGGGAGATGTGGCTGAATATTCCAGGGGCAAGGGCGGGGCAGGAGACCAACAGCAGAACCAGCCTGCCCTCCACGGAGGACTGGCTCCACCCGCGTGCCTTCCTGGCTCCGCTTCCCAGGCTCTCCCCCGGGGCCAGGAGCTGAGGACCCGGCTTCGGACTTTCACCCGTCCCTCCCTCGGGATGAAGCTGCTGCTGAGAAAACCTTACGAGTTCCGCTCAGGCCTGCCTCCAGCCTGATGCACGACATCCCCTTACACCAAAGGCCACGTCTGTCCCCAGAGGGGCTGTGAGGGGCCCCAGGGGCGCCGGGCGAGCTGAGAGCCAGGGTAGGGGCCGCGCACAGGCTCGCCTCGTCCTCACCATGCCCGCACCCCTCACAGGCTGCCCTGACCCGCCCGCAAGCCTGGGTGCAGGCACACGGCAAGTGCGCCTCTCCATACCTTCATCTCCTCCTCCATCTCCGACATCTTCCGCTCCAAGGCTCGCCTCTCCTGTTCAACACAACCAAACTGCTGAACATCTGACAGGTTTGGAAAGGAGTCAAAACCCTGCCCCCCACCCCACCCCCGACTTATCCGGACCCCAAAGCCATGGGAATAAAACTTAGCTGCTTTCCAAATTAAACACAACCGGGGGAGATGGGAACCCATTACACGCCCAGGGTCAAGTCAAAGCTAGGGTTCATCGATAAATTTGAGTTTTCCCAACCCGAGAATGTCAACCCCAGAAGGACACTCTGAGAGTGGTCAGCGGGGGTCAGCAGTTGGCCCGGAGCTGCCCCACCTCGGTCAGGGCCAGCAGGATGTCTGCTCTTCTTAGGGCTGGAGTCCTGGGACCTCGACCTGGGGCAGAGGGTCCTGCTGAAGCTCCCCCTCTGTTCAAAGGGACGGGAAGGGTCCAGAGGCCTGGACCACACGCTGTGGCAGGCGAGCCTGCACAGTTCCGCTTTCCCAGGGCGACGCGGACGGCCCCCTGAGGACCCTCCCGCCCCGAGCTCTCAGGAGACCGAAGCACCAGCAACAAAACTGCTCTGCAGAGTCAGGCAGAGAGGAGAGACGCCCCCTGGGATGGGATGCGCAGGCGCCCGCCTCCTTCAGACGGTGTCCTCCCCCCACGCACACGCACCCGCTTCTCCATCTCCAGCACCGACGACCGGTCGGCGGTCTTGTCTTGTTTCTGCTGGTGCAAACGGAAGGAACACATTGTTACTGGAGTGTCTCAGGGCCAGAGGGCCCGTCTAGTCCAGCCCACCGGGCGCCCCGACATGTGGCCCAACCCACGGGTCCTGATGTCACAGAGACGCAGTCGCCGCCCTTCCGAGTTCACAGAATCCCCACTGGGAGTGGAGGCAGCAGCAGTGCTCCCAGGAGTGTGACACGGTCACAAGTGCAGAGGTGTTACCACACACACCCCCACACACACCCCACACACACCACACACACACACACACCCACACACCCCACACACACACACACCACACACACACCCACACACCCCCACACACACACACCACACACACCACACACACACACACACACACCCCCACACCCACACACACCCCATACACACCCCATACACACCCCACACACACACACCACACACACAATACATACACACACACACACACACACCACACACACCACACACACACACAAGGCCAACCATCTTCTCCCCCCTCACCGCCCCTCCCTCACCTCTTTCTCGAATCTCAGGCCCAGAGGAAATGAAAGTGCCTTTCCTCCTGTAAAGCCTGAGCGCCAGGCACTCTTCTGAGTGGCCCCTTCCCGCTCTGCTCCTGTTTTGGGGACCGAGGCTGCGATTTTCAGGGAGGACGGGCTGCCAGAGCCTCTCAGGGGTCCATTCACGGGGCCTGCCCTGCTTTGGACAGAACTCTCTGTTTTATGCCCTGGGCTCCCAGGTAAGATTAGAGCTTGATTCTGGGTCATCTTCTACTTTAATGTAAATTCTGCAGAGGAGCCAAAAACATTTGGCCGCCACAGCTACAAAGCAGGGAGCAGCTTCAGGGAACGACTCTTAAAAAGGGCAGGGAAATGACCCCTGAGTCCCTTTTGGGCAGAATTTCTTACAATCGATAGATAGTTAATGACGACAGAGTGACTACTTTTATGCCTAGTACCAGGCATGGAAACATTTAATAAGCACAGAAATTACGCTGGTCTTTCTTTTTCAAAAAATTAAGGACTAGCTGGAACTGGCAGTAAACCGGGATTTCTGGCTCCGGTCCTGGGCTCTCACCATCTGCTCTGAAGGTCACAGCCGCGGCCTGTCTACACCACAAGCCTCTCTTCCCTAAGCCTGAGCAGCGCAGAAGCTGTGCCGATTTCACTACTTGGTTCACCTACACAAACAGAACTTAACTAGTTCTCTTCGACAAAGAACTAATTTTGTTTTGCCCTGTTTTAACCCTAACCCCTCCGAGTTCGGGTGGACCTTTCATGGGAACACGCCGTGTGTGCACGTGGTAACTGTTTCCACACGGATGTGTGGCGTCGACAGGCCTCCCCTCCACTGTCCTGCCGAACGGTCCAATTTTGGTAAAGAGCAGAGGCTTGGTCTGTAGCACCACCGTTTCTTCTGAATTCTAGTAACTTGTATTTGGCAAAACTCAGTATATTCCAACACACCCAGCAAAGCAGGTGGCTAGAAAGTCAATGCTCTTCCCCAGCGGCTAAAAGGCTGAGGTTATTTTCAATGCCCCCTGTGCAATCTGTGTCCCCGGCTCGCGACTCCAAAGCCGAGACCCCAAAGTTCAAAGGATGCACTGTTGGGGCTTCTGCAGAGGAGGGAGCGGGGCGGGCGGGCCGTGGCTCCTGGCAGGACTAGCCCGTGCTGGTTCAGGACCAAGTTGGCCTCGGCCGCCACAACCAGGCGGGGCCCTTCCACGATGACAATGACGGACGGGCAGCTCCCAGGACAGGCCCACTCTGCGCTGGCCGAGCCCTTCAGGAAAGCGCAGCCCCTCGGGCGCCAGCACCCCTGCCTGCCCGGGGGTGTTGGGAAAGCACTGGCCCGAGCCCCACATGCTCACTGCCGTCGATCCCAGCGCTTTCATCTCTGCTTTTGGATCCCACCCTGGGGTGGAACCGACAGCCAGCTCTGGTCTTCATCTGAGCTTCCCGGTGACAGTCCAAATTCTCATCCCCAGGCCTCCAGGCGGCTTCCTGCTGACCCAGCAATAACCCAAGACAGGGCTCGCGCCAGCCTTCAGTGAGGGTCTATCTCTCTGGCGATGAGTGCACCGCCCGCTATGTGCCACTGATTAAACCAGGCCTGGCAGCGAGAGGAAGAGCTTTATCTGGTTCCCTGTTCCGGCACAGGTGCTGCAGGACAGAACCCAATGTCCCAATGACACCTTCGTCCTGGGTTTGCTGTGACCAAACCACGACCGACAAGGCGGGAGGCACACACTGCCCACGACCAAGCCCTGACGCTGGCCCATGCTCTCCGCTAAGAAATGAGCAGATGACCCGTAAGAGTAATTACTGGCACTCGGGGGCCAGGAATGGTCCACTGGACCATCAGTTTCCAATTTTAAGTTCAACGCGGTGTGAACCCCTAACCAAACCTCTGGGAGGGGGAGGGCTGACCCGACCACCTCTCCCCTCCCCGCTCCCCCTCCTCACCTGGGCCATCTTCTCAAGCTTGGACTTCACGTCTGCCAGCTCGAGCTGGGCCTCCTGAAGTTTTGTCTTCAGTTTCTGGTTTTCGGTCAGGGCGCTCTCGTAGAGCTGGGGGAGGGAGAGGAGGGAGTCAGGTCCCCACCCTGTGGGCGGAGCAGGAAGACAGAAGGGCCCAGGGACAGAGGATATTCAGCCGAGGGCTCTGGCTCTCCTGCCGCTGGAACCCTGAGGTCCCAGGTGCTGAACACAAATGATGCTCCACTGCCAACAGTGTTACTGCCCAGGAGGCGGGGTGGGGCAGGGAGGGCCGCCACCACCTCCAGCAGGGAGGGCATTGTCCACCACCTCCAGCGGGGAGGGCCGCCACCACCTCCAGCAGGGAGGGCCGCCACCACCTCCAGCAGGGAGGGCATTGTCCACCACCTCCAGCAGGGAGGGCCGCCACCACCTCCAGCAGGGAGGGCCGCCACCACCTCCAGCAGGGAGGGCCGCCACCACCTCCAGCGGGGAGGGCATTGTCCACCACCTCCATCCACCACCTCCAGCGGGGAGGGCATGCGCATGGCTTAGGACGCGGCTCCCACACAAAAGAGGCTTCCTTTTGGAGCCGCCCTCCTCTGTATCCATCTTAGCCAAGTTCTGTTCAACAAAACACTTTCTTAACAGAAAAGTTTTTTCCTGGCATCTTAAGCACTTGAAAGGGCAGGTTTTTGAGCCGTCCCTGGAGCTGGGTTCTCTCCCTCAAGAACCAAAGGCAACGCACCACAAAATGATGGAAACCCCCCAAACCAGACTGTTACTATTTGCCGTTGCCGAGAAGTATCTGGTTGACGTTCACAGGACCTCATTAAAAGCACGTGTTTGTTAAAAATATCAGAGTCCATCAAGTGATTCTCCGGGCCCAGGCAACCAGCATTACTCTTATTTCCCTTTCCACAATCCTTAACCCTTACTTTTTCCTACACCTCTAAATGTCTGACTTAGGTGCATTTTTACTGCACTGAGAGCAATACGTGAAGGGGTCTTCATTCAGCGGTTGAGAGGGGGGTAGACGTGCTGGCCGTTAGCATCTGTCGCTGGAGCACCTTCCCTCCCGCCTCTCAGCAAGGAAGAGGCAGGAGGGTCGAGCGGAGGGGACCCCTGCGCGGGGACCCGGGAGCCCCCACCTTTCTGTAGTCCCTGCTGCTGTCTTCCCCCGCGCGGCTGCTCAGGGTGGCCAGGCGGGCCTCGCGGGCCTCCCGGCGGGCTCTGGCCGAGGCCCGCTCGCTGCTGGCGTCACTGCCTCCCAATTCCAACCTGTGGGAGACACAGTAAAGGTACAAGTGGCTTCCGAGAACGAAAAGGTGGAGGGAGGTGATGCTTAAGGGCGGTGGGCGCCTTTCCTAAGATGTGCTTGAGCGCTCTGGCCAGAACAGGCCCGGGCCTCCCCGCCTGCCGAGGGCACTGCTCGGGGGAGGAGGCCAGCACCCATCCAGCATGGAGCTGACTCGGGAGGTCGGTGGTGTGGCTGTGTGCCGACGGCAAGCGCAGAGCTTCTCAAATTAGCTTAGGGCCAAACAGCTTCCCTCAAGAGCATGCTTTTAAACGCAGAAGTTTCTGGGATCTCAGTGGCTCTTAGAAAATGGTTCCAATGAAGTGCCAATGAGCCAGAAACACACGGGCCTGGAGCTGCAAGCAGGGGTGGGTGAGGGTGGCAACCTGGGCTCAGCAGGCCGGCTGGACCCCCAGAGGTGTCGGGGGCGCCACCCGGTGCCGGGACAGCTCGCGTTGCACCCTCTCCTCTGGACGCCACACCTGTGACAGGACTTCATGTCTCGTAGCGACTGCACTTTCGGGGCGGACGGTGGCTTCGTCCCAGTACTGACTGGTCCATGAGTCAAGGGCCTCTCAGCTGACCTCCTGCTTAAGTGGACGGATGACTGGCACCCTGGTCCTTCACACTGGCTCCTAGTTTTCTGGCACTCTGCTCTTTCCAAGCTAAAAGGCGGCCCACGGAAGGGCCACGTGCAAACCAGCCCTCCAGGGCTCTACCCCTGAACCAGGCGGTGTGAAGAGCCCCAGCTGTGGAGCTTCCGCCCGCGTTCCTGTCCTGCAGGGGCCACGCGGGGGTGGGGGTGGGGGTGGACTAGGTACCAGAAGAGGCTGAGCAGGGGTGGGGGCAAAGCTGCTGATGACACCAAGGGCTGTCTTTTCCTCACAGAGGTGCTCAGTCCTACAACATTTTCTACTGCATTCTTTTCCTTCTCATAGTTAAAAAATCTTTTGTAAATAGAAATCTCTTTATTGACTTTCCTGATTGCAAAAGCAATACATGCATGTTGAACAGTTTAAGCATTGGAACTAAAGTGTCTAAAATAGAAAGTGAAAGTCACCCCACGGTCCTGCCCAAGGAACAATCTCTACCAACAGTTCAGTTCATATCCTTGCAGGATGTTAAACAGGGATGTCAAAATAAATATTTCTGTAAATAAAACCAGAGAATACCTTCTGTGGTCTCTCCCCTACACCTACGCACTCACGACTGCAGGCATCTCACCATGTAAGTAAAAACACATTTGCCTCATTAAAAAAAAATGACTGCGTAGGCTTCCACCGTATGGCTGTATGACAGTTTAATCCTCTATTGATAGACACATATTGTTTGAAATTTCTTAGCTACTGTAAATAATGCTACAATAAGACTTGTCTGTAAATCTTACTGTATTTGTTATTTTCTTAGGATAAAATCTTAGCAGTGGAACTGTTTGGTTAAGAGATAAATAATATTTTAAATGCAGATATATATGTTACCATACTGCCCTCTAGAGAGGTTTAAAACTTTTCAATCCAATAGGAGAAATATCTTATTGTTGTTAATTTTAATGCTTTAAAATCATTATGGAGGTTCAATATCTTTGATTATTTATCTTAGTTTCTGAAGGGCCTATTCATAGCCTTTGTTAATCTTTGCCTCATTATATTGCGGGAGCATCCTACATACACTGGGGCTTTTAAAACTATCTAACATAGGTTGCAAAAAATGTTTTTCCCCACTTTCCTTTTTGTCTCTTTTAATAGCAGAGATTTTACGTAATTTTTTACGTAATTAGAATGATTCTTTCTCCACTGAGTTGGAAAGTCATACGTGACTTTTGGGGGCTGTCGACTGTGTTCTAGAATCTCACTGTTTTAACTGCTACAGTTTTATAGCATATTTTGAAGTCTGCAGGAAAATTTATTTTCACAAATGGTCATTATAATGTAAGAGAGTTCACAAGAAATTAACTGTAGCAAACAAAACACCACTCTCCACCAATTCTGCAAAGCGAATTTTCTGCTGGGTTAGTTGGAAATTATATTTATCCTAAGCTGGTGCTTGGTGAGAGGGCAAGCAAAGGAAGAATACACGCAAGTTTGTAAATTTTAAAATATATTAATAAGGTAGAACCAGCTCAATTATTAAACAAATTATGAAACTCATTTGCCCTATGGTATCCTGTAACTACATCTTCCCAATCTCCTCTTAATTTCGTCATCAGAGGAACAGTGAAAAATGGGAGATTCAAACTCTGGCTCCACATTCTCTATTATTTTATAATAATAAAATAACGCGAGCTTTTCTCTAGTTGCAGCAAGCAGAGGCTACTCTTCGCTGCAGCGCATAGGCTTCTCATTGCAGTGGCTTCTCTTGTTGTGGAGCGTGGGGTCTAGGCGCGCAGGCTCAGCAGTTGTGGCTCACAGGCTCTAGAGCGCAGGCTCAGTAGCTGCGGCGCGTGGGCTCTAGAGCGCAGGCTCAGTAGTTGTGGCACAGGGGCTTAGTTGCTCCGCAGCATGTGGGATCTTCCCAGACCAGGGCTTGAACCTGTGTCCCCTGCATTGGCAGGCAGATTCTTAACCACTGCGCCACCACGGAAGTCCCAGTCTCTATTATTTTATTTTATTCTCCAGGAAGATCAATTTTGTACCCTTAGGTACTAGGTGAAAAATTACAGAGGATCATTCCCCAAACTCTGATATGCTTGACTTTTCAGCAACTGCAAAACAGGTCTTTGGTTCACTGGATAAACTATTCCTGGGCCCCATGTGGGTACAGGGAACAGTGTCAGGTTCCCTGAACCAGCCAGTCGGGCTGGCCTCTCCTCTGCCCTGAGTGCCCTTCTGTACTTCCATCCCGCCCCTGAGACGGCCTGTCCAGTCATCTGTACGCTACACGAAGGTGAGGACACTAATGTCTCCCTAGCCCTGGCTGGGGGGAGCGGGCACGGTGCTCGGGGAACCAACATGGAGGTGGGATGCAGCGTGACTGGACAGAGGGGCCCGTGTGGGGGCCGAAGGGAGCTGCTTGTGACTGTGGGGCCGTGGAAATGAGACAGGAGGATGGAGAGAGGCTGTTACACTAGGCAAAACCACGTGCAACCACACATGCGTCTACTCACGAGTGTGAGGCAGGCAGGGTCTTACCTAGAAAGTCGTTCATGCTGGAGAAACGAGACAAACAGAAAAATCAGCATTAGCAAGGGACTGACATTTATTATTTCCGTTTACAAATGTACTCTTCGAATCAGACGTCTCAGCTTCACGGCTGAAGACAGGGGTGCAGCCTCACAGTGTGAGAAAAGGCTCCTCGGCTAAGCGCCCACGCCTGTGCCCACAACTTGCGAGACTTGAGGCTTTGGGAGCACATCTCATTAAACTAGAGTCCAGCAACGTGTGAAATGATCACCCGCCCTGCCACCTACCAAGCCGTCCTGTGTCCCAGGACTGCCTGGGCCTGCGTGACAGGCTGCCTCTCTGGATCTCAGCGTCCGTTCTACCCACCTCCCTCCACTCACACCCTCGGCCCTGCCCGTGTGAACACGGTATCCATGGCTGTGAAGGTCCAGGACGGTCCCCACTTCCTCCCAGGTCCCTAGTGAAGGGAGAGGAGAGCGGGGGAAAGGCCCACACCCATCCCTAGGATGGTGGTAAAAAAACGAAAAGAGTAACAAAGTACTGAGATCTCAGAAGAAAGGAGTTTACAGATTTGACCTCTGAGCTCGGTTACCTATGGTCGCTGCAAACAACAATGATTATGCCTGTTTTACATTTATTTTTAATCACAGATGACCTTTACCCTATCTCCACTTTTTTATAAAAAGAACTGAGGCCAAAAAAAACCTCAGTTGATTTAAATGTATTTTTTTTTTCCTCCTTTGAGGTGTTAAAGAATAACAAAATCCTCAAGGGCAGACAAAAGAAGGAAGACGAGAAACCAGGCCCGATGACCTAACAGGAGCAGCGAACCCCTGCTCCTCTGGCCGTCGCCTGGGGACACTGCTCTGTTGAAGGTCACACCGCGTGAGGGCCCCACATACCGCACCCTGAAGCTGCCCAGGGGGGCAGAGCGCCAGCACTGCTGGCTGGAGGGACCAACCAGGTGACCTCGCTGCAAGGTGGCTTTTCCCCGTGGACTTCTGTCTTGAACCCGGGGCTTCCATTCATCAATCCTCTCGTGGGCTTTTCCAAAACGTCCTCAGCCTAACCTCAGTCCGGGAGGTTCTCTCTCCAGAGGCCTAGAGCTGGGCCTTCTTCCATGAATTGTAAAAAGTCCCCCAGGTGACCCATCATGCAGCCCAGGTTAAGCACCACTAACCATGGGCTTTTTAATGTGAAGACGTGTCCCATCTGAGGCGGAGGAATCGGTGAGAGACCGTGCGCTGTGTCTGTAACGTTCTCCTACACTGGAATCGGGCACCCTAAAACGTGTGAGTCTGGGATTCAGGAATTCTCCTGTCTCACATTTATAATATCCCATCAATCACTGCTTTTACCAACATTAACTAAGGGTTGTTTTTCTCCGACTTGAAGACTTTTGTCAAAAAAGAAACTAAATTTTAGCCACGTCTCAAGAATTACTTAATATATAAAAACGCTTCCAGTGTGCTCAGTGGTGCTGAGGTTTCCCCCGGTGGCCATGCAGCTCTGTGCTGAGAGCTGGCCTTGGTGGTGCCCGGGGGGCGCGGGGGGCATTCACAGCCCAGGGGGACTGCCCAATGGGACACGCCCCAGACCCGTGAGTAACTGAGGCCAAACTCCATCCCAGGCGACGCCAGGGGCCCTACTGAACTGAAGGACCGCGGAGAGCAGGGCCCGTAGGGGAGGCCCCGAGGAGGGGCAGCAGGGAAGCTGTGTGAGAGCAGTGCCGATGGGCCCGTCTGAGCAGCGCGGGGCAGACGGGGAGGAGGGGCAACAGAGGACAGTGCGGAGTCCGGGGCCCCTTCCCGGCAGAAATGGACGAGATGATGCTCGGGAAACGCGCACACACACACATCCAAGGTCTCCCCGCACCCCCCTCCCTGCGGCTTGGCCACCGCCTCACTCCCAGTGACGCCCTCAGGGCCTGCACTGCTCACCAAACACCCAGCCGACAGCTCAGCCTTCGGGAAGGGGCCTGCCGGCCTCAGCATCGGCTGGGCCTGGGAACCAGTCTCTGTTCTGACACCTAGACCAGCGACTCCTCAACGCCCTGCCAGCTCCGCCTCACTTCGCAGCTGTAAACGCACCACACTGGCTGCTGCTGGTTCGAGCAGCAAGTTAACTCAGGACCTGGGAGACCGGGGTGGGGCAGGGGTGGGGACTGAGCTCCCAGGCTCCCGTCCACTCTCCCGCGGCTTCTGGGCAGAATGGCCTTTCTCACGCTCCATCGCCCCCATGGGAGAGCCTCTGGGAGCCTCCCACGCCCTCCCCAGGCACGGAGAACGACCCCTTTACAACCTCGCCAGCTTGCCCCACGCCTTGGTCGTCTTCTCCCACAGAAACCCAAGCACACCTGTGCCCAGGGCGCAGACGGGGGCCTGGCGACGTGACCGACAGACGTGTCTGTTTACCAACTCGGTGGTGCCCAACTGTGGGATCTCACTTGAGGGTGCGGTAACATCCTCTCTGTAAGAATGTGATTCGTGGGAGGAGATTTTACTACATGTCCAGCTTTCAGTCTGCCGTGCCGACGCTGGCAGCGGCCTCTCTAAGTGAAGAGATCTTCCTTTCATTAAGGCAGGGAAATCTGGCTTCTCCCAGGCCTCAGTCTGAGCCATTCTGTAGTATCAAAGCGTACTACTCATCTCCACTGACCGACTCCTATCAGAGCACCGGGTAACTAACCTTTCCCACTCAGGATGGCCTGGAAGTACTGCGGAGCTGCTGATGCCATCATCGCACCAGCGGAAGTTCTCACAGGGCAGCATCGCATGCAGTGACACTGAGTGGCCTCTACTGAGGAGGCTGATGCAAGATACAAACAGGCAAAAACTTAAAGACACAGAAAATAGGTTAGCACTGCCACGCAGCAATCAGAAAAAGCCCACGGGGTCCTGGCAGCCCCAGGCAAGCCCTCCCCAGAGGCCAGCCTGGAGGGCCGTGCGTCCTACGGGGGCTGCCCAAGAGCGGCACTCCTATCTCTACCTGCCAGGGGTAACTGAAAGCAAACAGGACAGTCTGCTGTTTGTTGTACTCTTCAGGCATGTAAGATGCGTGTTATCAAGTTCTTTGGGATGAACTTTCATCAGGTGTTGTGACGAGTAGACTGTCACCGGATCCAGGTGTCAGAGGAAACAGGGGTCCCTCCAAGCCCGCCCTCCATCCTTCTAGTACTCCCCCTCCGCGCCACCCCCCCAAATCCTGGAGCCCTCTGGAACCCTCGGGCTTTTTATCATTGCCTTCAAGGACTCGCCTTAGCCACGTCCCGAGAAGGTGACCTAACTCCTTAGAGAAGAGTAAGAGTCTCAGAAAACAGGATTTGGGGCCATAGAGGTAGCACGGTTGTAGGTTGTAGAGGTAGCACTGTTTGCCATGAAGCAAACAGTACCATTTCAAAGAAGGAAGACACCTGGGATTTCTGGAGGAGATGGTGTTCTCATCGTAACAGAAATTAGCCTGAGAAGACAGTTCTTGGAGGCCAGAGGGCAAGTGGGTTAAAAGTGTACGGGACCTGGGACTCAATCCCCAGCTTCTGATAAAATGGCTTTGGTATTTAGATCATACTTCCAGAAACTACTGGTTTGCTTGGTTTCTTGATATCCTAGATAATCTGGTGTTTGACGGACAAACAGTGGTTAGATTTAGGGAGAGAAAGTTTGGGTTTCTTGGGTAAAAGGAGCAGAGTGGCTGAACTGGTGGAGACTTAACTTCCATTTTCCCTCTTCCTCCTCCTGTCACTCAAACTGAGCACAGTTCACCGTCACCCGGACACTGTGTCTCAGTCTGAAGAGCTGACTCCGTCCCTGCAGGGAAAGCACGGAGTGGGTCTGGAGAGCAGGGGGCGGGGCAGTGCGGGCTTGCCTACGTGGTCTCGCCGGGGCGGGGGGGCAGTAAAGGACAGCGTCAGAGGCTGGGGAAGGACATCGAAGACCCTCCAGAGCGGAGCCTGAGAGTCGGCCCCATGGGCAGCGACTGAGGAGAAGCCCCAGAACACAGGGCCTGGGGCCCCAGCCAATCTGCGCCCTTTGGAGGCCAGGAGCGGGGGTTCCCCTCGCCTGTGTTCTGGGAAAGGCCCATCTCTCCCTGCAAGCTCCCCCCGTGGACGTGGGGCAGCGACTCTCACTCCACTCTCGAGCCGGGTCTGAACGGCGCATCTGCCCATGGTGACGCCGTTTATTTTAGGAGAGGCCCGAGCCTTCTACGCAGCCTACAGGTTAAGACCAACGTCCCGTGGCACGTGCTCTAGTCAGGACGTCTCAGGAGGACCTTCTGCTTGGAGACTGCTGCTCTGCCGCCACTGAAAACAAACGCCTGATGGCCACTGAGGCCGGGCTCTCTGGTGTGTCTGAGCTAGAGGCAAACGGCTCAGAGAAGGAATTACTTTCACAGCTTTTATGGCCCAACTGGGGGCCACAGACATTGTGAATGGGGCCTGCAGCAGCAGAGACTTTAGAAACCAAAGCGAACACAGAAAACAGAAAGTAAAAAGAAAGACGAGCCAGACGCACCATAATTTAAAAAATGCTCCAAAACCAAGAAGCAGGCTCCTTCCTCTCATACCTCCTGAATTCTCCCATAACAATCTCATGGGTTGGGGCCTGTTTCTAATAAAAGAACAGAGCGAAGAGCACCATGAATTCAGATGGAAACCCTGGGAAGGGACGGAACAGGGCTGGCTTTGATTTGTGAAATGTGGAGACTTCTCCGAACACCAGAGACTGGCTAGGAAACCCCCCACGAAAGCTTTTAACGTGAAGTTATCGGGAGTTCAGGAAGGCAGATAATTAAAACCAAACTCTTCTGACCAAGTTTAAAATAAAATCTTAGCTCTGGAAGCTGGGCCCAAGGGAAAGGAACGAACCACGTCACGTGGCCACACCAAGACCAAAATGGGCCTGACGCTGCAGCGATGGGAAAGCCTCCGGGTAAACCTCCTACTTCACTTCCGTGTTCCTGGGAGAGGCCCAAGCTCTAAGGAGCGTGGGTGTGGCTGCAGTGAGGACCCGCCGCAGACCTGGCCCAG